ATATATATATATATATATTGTATATATGTAAAACAATATTTATAGAAGAGTATAATATATATCTAATATTACATGTACTTAATTAGAGTGGACTAAATTGAATAGAAAAATCCTGTATCATTTTGCGATTCTCACAAGAGTCAATGAGATATCAATTTATAAAAGTCTACTAATCTGCGTGCGTCCATACATATTCGGTGACTAGAGGCAATCCAGCGTTTACGATTTCTTCGACAAGCGTGGCAGAGGCGTTCTATAAAAAATAATTATTCACGAGCGGTATATTACTGTTTATAAAATGTGTCTATCAATGCATTGCCACACGTTTAGTAACTTTAAACGCTGAGCTGTCTCTTTTATTACCAAACTGCGCAAACGTGTGCTGATTCATATATTTTTGTAAATTAATATCTCGTTAACTATTGTAAAAATCGCAAAATAGTATAGGACTTTTCTATTCGGATTAGTCCGCTCTACTTGCCCATAAGCGGTATTACCTATCAAAATATCAGGCATCCTGCGTGCATACGTGTGTGCGTGCGTGCATGCGTGCGTACGTGCGTGCGTGCGTACGTATGTGCGTTATTTTTTAACCTTTTCATTCTATTTATTTTTCATATTTGTTTACTGTTTATCATTGAATTTTATCATTTTAAGATTGACTGTGTTCTTATATGCGCTTTAAACTTCCAACTTTTCCTGACATTTAAACATCTTCTAATTATTGTAATAAAATTGTCAAATATTGCAAAATTCCAAACAATATTATAATAGAATTGCTTATTATATATTATATAATAGAAGACACTTTTTAGTTTATATTTACGTTTCAGAGTTTTATTTTAACTTTTATTTAAAAAAACATAATCCAAAAGCAAAGTAGCATGATGATATAATCTTCCTCTAAACTATTTTTATCGGGTATAATATATTAAAACCATCAAATATTTTTTTAATATACATTTTTAAATACTGTAATATTTGCAGATTCGATTTTTTTTACAAAAGAAGTTTTTGCGGCAGAAACAGTTTTTAAAATCGTATTTGTTATTTAATTTTAAACAGGCATTTAATTAAATTAATAGTTATAATTATATTAGTTTATTTAATAATAGGGAAATTATGTACATGAACATACAAAATTATTATTAAAAATTAAATTAAGTAATAAATCTGTTGACATTTTTTACTGTTGTTTACAAATTGATCAAACAAAATGTGGTTGAAAGATAGGTTAACCGTAGAAAGGAGATCAGTGCCTACTTACGGTGTCTTTATAAAGTAGAATCTGTTAGTCGAACACGTCAGGTGTATCTTCGTGATGAATACCGCATTCGTGCGGACCGGTTGAACCGTTACAATTCACCGTTTCTAGTGCGATAAAAGTTACCGAATGTTCTCGAAAATATAATTAGATATGTTTGGCTATTATCTTCATAATAATGATAAATTAGTAACGTAATTATAGTTGCGTGCTTGTAAAGAAAGAGTTTCTCAATAACACACCTTTTTATTACGGATTTAACGTTCAACTTATTATGAAATTATTTACTTGGTATAATGTCCTCAAAAAAATATCGAGGTCATGAAGATATCTTCAATAAAATATTTTTAGGCATCTTTTAGAGAATTTATATTATAATTTTTCTTTTAGAAATATTTTGAAGATATTTTGCGCGTTAAAAATATTTTCATAGCGTTAATAAAAAATATCGAAAAATATTTAAATGATTTCTCATATCTTTGACACACTTTTAAAAGATATATCCCGTCATTACCTCTTATAAAGAACGTGTTTGTAAGATAATTTTAGAGACAAAAATCCTAATATGGAAATATCGAGGTTATAATATTTTTCAAATTGTAAACAACTAAAATTGACTAATTTTAGCGTGTTCAGACATGATACACTGCATAGGAATATAAATGAAAAAAAAAAAAACACATTTGTCTCGATCCTTTTTTCCAATATTAATATTAAAATTACAGAAACATATATGTACAGGGTGCGTCGTCAAAATCCGGACAAAATGAACAATTCAATGTCCATTTTCCAGAGGCGCTGAAATCAGCTCAATCACCGGTCCTAGCTAAATCGCGGGCATGGCGGCTCTCAGGATTTTCTCTGATAATAATATATTTAAATCCTGATTATTTTATAATCATATTTTATGTCAGCATTCTACAAAAAAAATTTATTAAAAAATTAAAACTTATGAAAGTTTATATGTATCAGGTTAAATCTGAAAAACTTGGTATAAAAATATCAGTTTGAATCTGAAAGATTTGCTGTTCTATACAAAAATATAGTGTGTATTCTTAGAGTTACAACATTTTTTCAAAGTTGACAATCTATACGTATTAAGATCTGTCCAATTACGCTAAAGCTTCAATTCATTGTTTTAATAAGTTATTAGCATTTTGACTCATTTTCTGTAATAAATGAATCACTTACAATCTTGAAATTGGAAGTCCAGCTTACAATTGCGGAACTATATATCGACAGTTATTAGCGGAATAATTTAGTTATTGCACTTGTCTATTAGCGGGAGTTATTAAAATATTATATCGCTGAAGAAATTCCGAATGGAGCCGAAACATACAAAATCAATGTAAAATATTGAATAAATTGATGTAGCAATTTTTACGCACCACGTCCTGCATTTTGATTCTTATTGTCTATAATATTTTATTGATTAATGTTACTACAATTGTTTGATAAAACAAGATTTTTCCCCATTTCTATAGCCTTTACCTTTTATTTTTATATACTTATATTTTACATACATATATTAAAAATTAAAAATTTAACATTTTAATTAATTTTTTATAGAAGCAAATTGTCTGATAAATAGTTTACTGTGTTACAAAAAAAACACCTTTTTTCTCTTCGAAACAATGCGATACAATACGTTTCCCGAAGATTTTTTCGCACTTAACACAATTGCCATTGGCAGAATTTGCCTAGTAAGTCATTTTAAATAAATTGAAATGGAAAAAATAGCGTTTTTGCTTTTAACATTTTTTTGCTGCAAAACGTAAACTGGTTTCTAAATAGACCCGGCATCTGAAAGCACAATACAAGAGCTTTCAAACAAACTTTGATTCATAACCATACGATATTTTATCATCAAGTTATGGCTGTTTGAATTTTAGACTTTTTGTGAAATTTACAAGAAAGATAAATACGTATTTATACACATTATGACGTGTGAGTGCGTGTGTGTGTGTGTGTGTGTGTGTGTGTGCGTGCGCGGGGTGTGTGTTTTACAAAGAATCAAAGTATATATTATTATATTTTAATTCGTTAATTCAAAGTGGCAGAAATATTGATTCCAAAGCGTTTCTCAAGCAATTTTTACTCCTGTTTATATATTGATGTTAAGATGTGTCAATGTTATAGAAAGATTAAAATTTGAACATATAAAAAAAAGTCATACAATCATGAGCTAAATTAAGTTTGTTTAAAAGACCTTGAATTATGCTTTCAGATGCCGTTGCGTTTATTTAGAAACCAATTTTTGTTTTGCCGCAAAAAAATCTTAAAAGTAGCCAAAAAATGCCTTTTTTGCTACTTTTATTTCAATTTCACTCAAAATCCTGACATGCAATTCTGCCAACGGCATCGTGTTCAGCGAAAAAATCTTCAGCAAACGTATCGTTGCACTTTGGAGAGAATTTTGCTATAACACAGTGTAATTTTACTAGATACTTAAATTTCTTAAGCATCGTATTATTTTGCTCATAGGTACTAATGACGAAGATATTCTAGGAATGCAGCCCTTTCGTACAGAATGGCGGAATGATACAACAGAATTGAGAAATGTGTATCCAACAAAAGAAGCTGATATTAAGGCGACAACTGAAGCTAAGAAAAAGCCCGTAATAGACTTTAAGGTTAAAAGCGAACAGAAATACCAAAAACCCACCGTCAAGGATGATGAGAAGAGAGTAGATTTCGATACTTCGACGATTTCACCTACGACAACTTCAATAAAAGTCGATCAATCTTCGGCAACAATGAAATCTATGAACACTGCGAGTATAATGATTCCGTTTCTTCTCCATGGAGTACCGATAGTTGCTGTAACAAAGACGACACTGCCAAGTAATCTTACTGTTGAGGATACAAATAGCACAGTGGGGATTCAAGTGACGGAAGAGACGTCATCAAGAGGCAGAGCTTTAAATGTCACCGCCTCAGAGCCAGTAAACTCATTACACGCTAATATCACTGATCTCAGTGACATCAGCATGGATGAGGATGACAAAGAAGTCGAAGGTAAATATTGTTGAATGACGAGTACCAGTTTATGCTAGAAATTTAAAGAGAATTACTAAATTATTACATATAAAATTAATATTATATAACACGTAATTCTAACTTAATCAAATTTGTTGATGTAAAATATGTACATTTCATATGTACATATGTAAATTAAATAAATTATAAAAAGATATATTATGTTTATTGTATAGCAATATTACATAATGTACGTGAGTTACTTTGGAAACAAGTACACTTTTAAGTATTTATATTATATTAACAATATATTGTAAATAAAACTAAAAAATAAGAATTATTTTATGTTGAATGAATTTATAGTCTCAAGAAGATAATTTTAGACTTCTATCTTATAGATTAAGGTTAAATCTAAAACACTTACATCCTAGTAAACACCAAATTATATGTAATATACCTGTTAGTTGTAATGTCCCATTCAACAATATATATAACTATAATATACCACATTGCGGTTTAACCTTCTGTGCGCCAGATGGAAAAAATCAACATGCTGAACCATGTGAGGTATCTCATACCCCATGTTATTACTTCACTTTAAGTGTACTAATTTAATACGACAATAATTTCAACTGTTATAATATCGATTCTTGTTCCTCCAGAATAAAACAAAATAATAAACTCTTTAATCTTTTAAAACAAGAAAACAAAAGTAATACTATTTCTTACAAACTAAATTTAAGCAGGTTAAATTTTGCTGGGCTCACACCTCACCTAGTGCACGGAGGGTTAATGTTCAAAAAATGGTTTTTTCAGTGATATTTGACTTTTTTTATAAAGGATAATGATATCTGAAAATTTCAATCAAAAGTTATGAATGCATCGATCATTCCCTATAAAATGCATTTTGTTATTTTAATCTCGTATTTTTTAGTCGTATTATGACAGATTTAACCTAGGAACTATTTTTAATATGGGGACACTGAGGCAATGTCTCATGTGCATACGCGATCGGCGGCTACTTGCCATTATTTGTTTCTTTTTAGACCATTTCTCTGTCAGACAACTTTTGTCTGGAAAATTTGTTTAATGCGTTTTCTGTACCTGTTGTAATTTCTCACTCAACAATATAATTATAACACATTGTGTTATATTACAACTAACAGGTACGTTACATGTAACTTGGTGTTTGCTGGGATATTATTATTACATAATTTATATAAATAAAGTAAATTTATTTAAAACAACTAGTAAAATCTATTGCTCTCAAAATGACCAGTAAAATAATTATTGTATGTATACATATATATATATATACAGGGTGGGGGAAAAAGTACCGGGACACCTTAATACCCTGTGAACGGTTCGAGATAAAAGATTGAAGTTTATGGGGATTCAAATGGCATCATAAAGGCCAAAGTAATAATGAAAGTAGACGTGTATACCTACAATTTGAGCCCAAGAAGAAATTTTTTGGTTGAACGTAATTTTGAGCAGAGGGGGTGGCCCGCTTGACAGAGAATGCTCCATATAGTATATATAGTACATATACATATAGTATATATACAGGGTGATTTAGAATAAGTATAGTGTCCTTAAACATACGTATTTCTGACCATATTCTGAGACCCCATATTCTGCCAAAGGAAAAATCGTCTCAGAATATGATCAGGAATACCGAATACGAATATTTAAAGACACTATACGTATTCTGAATCACCCTGTATACACATATATATATATATATATATATATATATATATATAATGTAATAAAATATATTGTGTAGGATTAAAATAGTTAGAAACAACGCATCTTATTTTTTATCATTTGAAAAAATAAAGATCATTCAGAAATATTATGTTTGATTATCTGTATATGTATTTATAATCTGTTAAATCCAAAATTATATTTTATTTTGATGTTATAAAAGATAGTTTGGAAATTGTCTCCAATATCTTCAAGAGTGTCGAAAGCCTAAGCATACACAATCTAATTAATTGTCTCCAGGCGGAGAGTACATCGCGCCACATAACGAAACTGCCATGAACATTTCCTCGACATTACTTCCGAAGGCATCAGTGTGTATCCATGGAAATCATACTTACTTACTGGGTGAAAAAATTATTCGAGATTGTGAGGAGAAGTGCGTATGCTCTGAGAGTGGAATTACGGATTGTCAGCCGTTATGTGTTTCCCCTTACGTTAGATCGGGGAAAGAGCTTAAAGATCATTTGTGCCAAGAAAAACTGATTGCTGAAGAACCGTGTTGCGCCCTTATTGTCTGTCCCGCTTCAGATTCAGGTATGTCCCTTCATATTCTCAGAATTTAATGATTTTTAGACTCAAGTTCACGACTTACAAATCCATAATTTAGTCGTGTTTATTCATTTTAAATATAATATACACAATTGAATTTTACAGATCATAGATTTATTAGACCATGTTCTTACATTAAACTCCTTACATTAAAGTTCTCTATCTTTCTTATTGCTCCAGAGATTTCATTAATTAATTTATTAGTACTCATTAACGTTTGGATTTGCATATTATTTATTATGTAGATATAACTTAATTGTTATATAGATAGAACGGAGAGATCATGCATACTATACTGTTGAAGGCTATTATAGAAATACATGCACTAGTTTATAAAAAAATGTTTTTTTATTACTTTGAACAGGACTACGTATTTCTTATAAATTTTTGTATTCTAAAAACATAAGTCAAATTTTTTTAACACGTACGTCAAGTTTCTAAGATAGTGATATTTAATATTCAAAAAATGGTTTTTTCAGCAATATTTAACATTTTTTTGTAAAGAAGGCTAACGACATGAAATTTCGATCAAAAGTTATGAATATATCAATCATCCCTTATAAAATGCATTTTTTTATTTTAATATCGTATTTTTTAGTCATTACATGAAAGATTTAAGCTAGGAACTATTTCAAATATGGGGACAGTGTCTCATGTACATGCACACCCGGCGGTTACTTGTATTTGTTTCTCTTTAAACCATTTCTCTATCAGCAACTTTTATCTGGAATATTTTTTTTTAATACGTTTTCTTCAAGATATTCGAGATGAGTTAAAATAAGACACTGTGCGTGCGTGCGTGCAGCGTGCGTGTGAGATCAAGATTTGTTCCAAAACAATAGAACCAGTTTCAAACTGTCAGAAAACTGTGCATTATCTCAATTTG